TCATGTTGAAGGTTAAAGGTGGCTTTCATGGGCCTGGAGCAAAGTAAAACTGGTGCCAAAGAAAACAGCCTATTTAAAACTGCAGGCTTAGCTTCAACAGTGATGAAAACAAAGTGATCTTTGCTATTTACCAACCCATCACTCCCAAGTTGACTATGCAAGAGCCACCATATTGCACAACTCTAGGGGCCTCAACTCATACTGTCCTGTTAACCCATATTTTAGCAAAGCAGAAGAATAAGAGCTCAACAAGTATTAGCTATCCTTTTTCTTGTTTTGTATTAACAGCTAGAACCAAAGGTAATTATTGACAAGTACGGTATTCACTAAAATCAAATAGTCACTTAAGAACAACCCAGGCAGGGCGCAGTGGCTCAAGCCTGTAATCCCAGCACTTTGGGAGGCCAAGGTGGGTGGATCACCTGTCAGAAGTTCAAGACCAGGCTGGCCAACATGATGAAACCCCACCTCTACAAAAATACAAAAAAAAAAATTAGCCAGGCATGATGGCAGTTGCCTGTAATCCTAGTACTCAGGAGGCTGAGGCGGGAGAATCGCTTGAACCCAGAAGGCGGAGGTTGCAGTGAGCTGAGATCGTGCCATTGCACTCCAGCCCGGGCAATAGAACAAGACTCCATCTCAAAAAAAAAAAAAGAAAAAAAAGAACAAGCCAAGAAATTTGGCTCTCAAGATTCAAAAGAATGAATCTCTAAAATCGAGTAGATGACAAAGATGTCTAAAAGAGGACATTCAGCAAGACTAAGCACTCACAGATGTTAGCTATGTAGTAGGCAGCATTGTTACAAGTGTTTTACACGGCTTCATCCTCACAACAACTTGATGACAGAGGTACTGTTGTTAAGGCCCATTTTACAGATGAGGAAACCGAGATGAGTCATCCAGTAACTGGCAAGTCACATGGCCAATAAGTGGCAAGGGGTGATTCAAAGGCAGCAATCGCCTCTCAACACTGCATCCTTGACTACTTGCAGCAAGGCTCCTTGTGTTATTTGCTCCAGAGAGTCGGGGGGCAGTTGAGTCCTGCTCCATTTCCCTCAAATCACTGCAATTGAGCTACGTGAAGTTTTTAATGGGACTGACAATGAGGAAGGGATCTGGCTCAAGCATAGGAGGAACCTTAAGGGGTGGGAGACCACCACAACTCAGCTCTGGGAAATATAGAAAGGATTGGTGGCATCTTTAAGGAAGCACAGGCCAGAGCCCCTTAACAGCATGGTGGGCATTCACAGGGAGGCCCTGGGCCTCTGGGAGCTCTACCCTTACCCCCACATCCATCCCTTCTTCAGACATATAGGGTTAAGAAAAAAAAAGAAAAGGAAAGAAAAGAAAATTAAGCTCCTCCCCAAGAGGCCAACAGAAAATATTCAAAGTAACTCAAAACCTCCTCCAGCCTTTCTGAACTCAATAGAGATAGGAGATATTTTTAATTCATCCCACTCTGTAACCTTGAGCAATTTACCTAATCTCTTGAACTTTAGTTTCTTCATCTCTATAAAATAAAGTTCACACCTACTCTGTGTGTGTGTGTGTGTGTGTGTGTGTGTGTGTTGTAGAAATTAAATTTGACATAATTGGTGAAAAAGGCTTAGCACAATGCTTGTCAACTGGTAGAAGACCAATAAATAATAGTTTTCATCTACCTTTTTGGGACAAAAAAGGACACTGTTAGTTTCCTACAAAACATTTATTTTTCATTATTTACCAATAGGCCCTTAATTTCAGGGCTACAATATGCCCAGAAAACAAGATCACCTCCCCAGACACCTTCACAATTAGGATGGGCATATTTCAGTTCTGGCAGATGAGGTGTAATGAGAAGACTATTTGGGAATCAGAGGGATATCTTCCAGGAAACCTGTTGCTTCCCTAAAAATAGGAGGAACACAGACTCAGCTAGCATTTCGTTTGACCCATGACCCTTCCTCTTCTCCCTATTTGAAGGTGCAGTGGCCATCTTGCCACCACGAGGACAAAACCACAGGCTGATCACAGGAATAGAAAAGGATCTTGGGTCCTAAGTAACATCCTCTTATTATTACACCAACTCTACCTTTCCTACGTCTTGACTATTCAGGTGAGAAAAATAAACCCCTAACAGGTTTTCCATTATTTGTAGCTGAACACATTCCTAACTGGTATTACCAATCCCAGTTTTATATATTGAAATAGAAAAAAAGTATAGAAATTCTGGGGTGTTTGTCCAAGGTCACATAATGAATTGATTGGTGGCAAAGTCACCCCTGCTGAGTATTTGAGTCTTAAATTTCCAACCCCAAAACTCTCCAAATAGATTATGTTTAAACAAAAATTGTATCTATGTCAAGAATTAGAATGATCAGTGTTATAAAGCATTTATGTGCAAGACAGTTGTGCTGGTGTATAAGAAACTTTCTTCTGGAAATTTAAGTAGTCAAAATATATTTTTGAAAATCATGGATTTCACCTAATCTGTGCAAGTGGACTCTTCAGTCTGGGGGCAAATCACACATGAAGCTTAGAAGAGGAACTGTTAATCTATGGAACCCAGCTCCATCTCTCTGGAAACACAAGGAAGCACCTTTGAACCATCCAAAGAACAGCATGCTGTGAAATCAACAAATAGAGCTGCCTGCCCTCATATCTATCCTAAAGAAGATATTGGATTTGAAAAAGACATGTCTTTGAACTGCTAATAAATATTTTACCACCCTGATCTTTTAGGAAGTCAGGATTGACTAGCACTATCTCATAAATACAAGCTTTGCACAGTACAATTGTTTGGGCTTAAATATATTGTCTGCCTTGTGTTGTTATAATTTAATGAAAGCTATTTGCTGGTCTCAAAAAATGTAATTAATAAAACTATATCCAAATTCTCTGGCTGAGAATTTGTATCTGCAACAAAGCTGCTGGATATGAGTTTGCTCAGAAACTCTGGAACTTTGGGATCCTTGGGAGAAGAAAGTCTACTCCTTTGCTTTAGAAATAGATGCATCCTTGGAACTTTCCAGGTGGGTGTAGGTAGTGGGGCTTAGAACTCATCCCATCACCAAGCAATAGACCCCGATAAGGATGGCTTCATAGTGATTCCCCGAGTGGCCTTGGTTATACTCATGAATGTGTTCTCCTCACCAGGTTCAATTGGCCCAGTGTAAAAACATGTGACCCAAGTTGTGGCAGATTCCCTCTCACGGAAAGTCAAGACTTGAACAAGGAGACGTAGTGATGGGAAGTCTTTAGAATCGACTCAGCTGGCTGGCTACAATCTAGAAAGTGAACCCACAAACTACTATCAGTGAAGTCCTGGGACCTCATTTAGTTCCTCCCCTTCCTAAGATCCTCTAATTCTCTGAGCTCACCCAGTAAGGCACTAAGGAACACCTCTTTTTAAAACTTGAGCTACACTGAGTCAGTTTGTTTCTTAAGACCAAAAGGATCCTAGTGAATACACTGGACAGTATTGTGCACCAATTTGTAGGGTCACAGAGCCAGAAGGAAACACAAGTTCTCCTGATTCCTTTCTACCTTTAAGCAGAAATAAGCAGTCCCAATCTTGAGCAAACAGGTGACAGGGAATCTCCACCTGATGGTCTTTAAGCCTCTAAGGAAAGTGGTTTCAACATTCGGCCCTCAAACTCAACACCAAGAACCTTTTCTTCCCATGTTCTTTCTTGGCACCTGTTGTGGTGCCAGCAGTGTGACAAGTGGTTTGTGGTATGGGCTTTGGAGCTAGGCTCCCTGGAATCTGATGCTGCTGCTTTCTAGCTGTATGACTTAGGGTATTGTGCAACCTCTCCATGCCTCAGCTTTCCCTCCTAGAAAGGGAATAAAATCATACTGTTTGCCTCATGGGGTTGTTGTGAGAATTAAGTTAGTTAACCCATACAAAGTTCTAAGAACAGCACTCCATCCCAACTTCTCCTACTGTCTCCTCTTTTGTATTTTAGACATGCCAGCTTATACATGCTCTTTCCTGCCTAGAGTCTCAGGGGGGTCTTTGTACATTCTGTTCTTTCTGCCTGGGAGCCATCCTCTACTCCCCACAGCCACTCAGTGATAAGTGGCAAAACTGGCCCCAGTTCACCACCCCTTCCTATAACCACACTCTTTGCTATGTGATTTTACAGCTCCTCCCATCAGCAGGTGGGGTCTATATTCCCAACCCCTTAAATGTGTACTAGTCATGTGACCTGCCTTGGCCAATAGTTGAGTAGAAGTGGCATTGTACTAGTTTTGATCCTGGACCTCAAGAGATATTGCATGTTTCCATTCTTTCTCTCAGACTCCTTCCAGCTACAAGCCTAGGCTAGCCTGCTAGATGAGAGACACATGGACCAGTCTCCACCCATTACCCCAGCCCACAACTAACCAATCCCTTGAAGCAGAACCACCTAGCTGACCAGCATCTGACCATTGAGGTATAGTGGTCTCACTGCACCAGCTGAGACCAGAAGAACCACCCAGCTGAACCCAGCCCAAATTGCCAACTCACTGCATTACAAACTAAATAAGTAACTATTGTTTCAAGCCACTAAATTTGAAGGATGATTTGCTACATTGTAAAAGCTAACTGGTATACACCCTCTCTAAGCCTCAGTTTCTTCAATGATAAGACAGAAATAATAAAAATAGGAATAATAAAGCCTACCTCAGGAAAATAAGTGTAAAGACTGAAAGAGATAATGCTTCTCAAGTGCCTATGCGACAGTAAGTATTACATAGCTATAAACTACCACACACATTGTAATGATAATAGTGAATTATTTATGTTGCCTCTTATCTGTATATTTGAAGGTAATTATATCTAATGAATAGGTTGTTGTGATAAGTTGAGAAAATATGTGAGATGCTTAACACCAGGTTAGACACAAACAGAACATCAATAAGTAGTTATTCTTAATGAGCTACTGTCGTTAAGTATTACTACAGAGTCTCAGCTTCTTCGTTCTCTCCCCTGGCCATTACACACAATCCTCCACCGCCACCACCTCCTGTCTTACCTTCAGCCCTCAGAGTTCCATCATCTTGATGATTAGATGTCGGCTCCCAGCCTTCAGCCTGACACTAGGGCACCTCCAGCCTGCACAGCCCGCTTCCTGGGAGAAGGCATTGGAACGCCTGAGATTCCTTGAACGTCCGTCCGGTCATGAACTTCAGCCACTAGGGGGCAGCCTCACCCTCCAGCCTCCGGAAGCTGAGCCTGTCCTACCGGGTTTTTTCCCTCTTCTGATCCTAAAGTCTGAGGGCCCAGGATTTGAGAAGCCCCCACTGGTCCCACTGTCTACGGGTCACAACCCCACTGTGGTCACTCACCTGTTCATATTCCCCCTTCTTTCCCGAGTGGGGAGCAATCCATCCCCCAACCACCTTGAGCAGACACTGGGGGCAGCACCCCCCCAGCTCAGGGCAACCTCTCAACCTGCGTGAGTGGTTTCATAATTCATGCCTGCCCATCAGCGGACAGATTTAGCCTGCTGCCTGCTGAGTCTGAAAATACTGAATATTAAAATATCCCAGACGCTCGCCCTTCTGACGCCCTCGCCTCTCTGGGATTCACATGCAGTTGGCTGCACAAACAATTCCAGGGACACACATCAATTTGTCGATTAAGTAGGGTTTGAGCACCCATATGTGTAACTTTCATCAAAACAGGGAAAGGGGTATTCAGGGCTATGTGCTCGGTGTGTGTCCTTGAAGAAGTCTTAGTCTTCTGGCTTCAGAGACAGTATATTTTTTTCTACATCACATTGCTGCTTAAACTCTCAGGGCCCTTTTTGTAGCACTATTTGTGATCAAGAGAAATGTGAATCCAATTTGAAGGATTTCACTGAGCGAAGTAGAGCAAAAGACCTGCAGAAACCATCTCTGCCCACCCAGGACACAATAGAGAGGTTCCCAGGAGTTAAAGCCTGCCGGTAATGAGGATGAGGAAGCAGAGGACTCTCATATTTGGTAAAGAAAGAGGTGTACATGTGTGTATGTTTGTGTATCCTACACCCCTTTCAAGTCTAGCTGACACCTGTTGTGTATATCAAAGACCGCCACATATTTCCTGCCTTCGATGGTGAGTTTTGTTTTGTTTTGAGATGGAGTCTCGCTCTGTTGCCCAAGCTGGAGTGCAGTGGCGTGATCTCAGCTCACCACAACCTCCGCCTCCCAGGTTCAAGTGATTCTTGTTCCTCAGCCTCCTGAGTATCTGGGACTACAGGCATGTGCCACCACTCCCGGCTAATTTTTGTATTTTTAGTAGAGACCAGGTTTCACCATGTTGGCCAGGCTGGTCTTGAACTCCTGACCTGAAGTGATCTGCCCACCTTGGTCTCCCAAAGTGCTGGGATTACAGGCATGAGCCACTGCACCCGGCCAATGGTGAGTTTTAAACCTTCTACTCAAAGAACTTCTGGGCCTTTGCTAAGGCACGCACCTTTGCTGATATCCAGTAATGACCAGCAGCAAATGTAGCTAAAACCAACAGAAATTTATCCTCTCACAATCCTGGAGGCAGAAGTCTGAAATCAAGGAGTCAGCAGAGTCTTGCACCCTCCAGGGCTCTAGAGCAGATAATTCCCTGTCTCTTCTGGCTTCTGGCGGCTCCTGGCATTTCTTGGCTTGTGGCAGCATCTCTCTAATTTCTGCCTCCATCTGCACAGGGCCTTCCTCCCTCTCCCTGTGTGTGTCCTCTCCTCTTCATTTAAGGACACTCGCATTGAGTAACCTTAGACCACCCTAATCCAGCATGACCTCCTCTCAATCTTTACCTTAATTATATCTGCAAGATCCTATTTCCAAATGTCTTAGTCTGTTCAGGCTGCTATAACAAAATACCTTCTATTGGATAATTTATAAACAACAGGAATTTGTTGCTCACAGTTCTGAAGGCGAGCCTCCAGTCAATTTGGCACCTGATGAGACTGGCTCTGCTTCAAATATGGCACCTGCTTGCTGGGTTCTCACGTGGCTGAAGTGGTGAACAAGCTTCTTCGGGCCTCTTTTATTAAGGGAAATGATTCCATTCATGAGGTTTCCACCTTCATGTCCTAGTCACCTCCAAAGGCCTCACCCCTTAAAACCAACACATTGGGGATTTGATTTCAACACATGCATTTTGGAGGAACATAAATATTCAGACCAGAGCACCAAACAAGGTCACAATCTGAAGTTCAAGTTGGGCATGAATGTTAGAGTGTCACTATTCAGCCCACAGCACCCACTTTATCTCTATCTTGGGTTCATACGAGGATTTGCTCCTTCTTTGGAGTACTGGAATGTGGTTGAAGTCAGTATTATTAGTTTAACTCCCCGTCGTTACCTTAAGTAGGCTCTTTCCACAAGACCCTTCTACGGGGTTCACTAATGAGGCTGAAGGAATTTGTTCCCCAATACCTAGCACATACACAGCAAATCACACTTTACAAAGCTCGACATCCTATTTACTCTCTGCATCAGCTCCGTAAGGTAAATAGTTTTACCCCTCACTTTGCAGAGGAGAAAACAGGCTCTAGGTGTGAAGTGACTGTCTCAGGTCTTACCAATCACGAGAGGCAGGACCTTCAATCCAGTCTTTCTGATTCCAACCTGGTGCCCCCATCAACTGCACCCCACCTGTGTCTCCTATAAGCTGAAGACATCCTTTGTAAGGAAGAGTAACCAGATACCTGGCTTGTGCCTGTTGTCCAAGTATACACATTATTAGCTCTCTACTTCATTCCCAGAAGTATCCCACTTGGACGGTAAGTTATATGATTACCTTCTCAGCAGTCTTGGCCACAGAGCTCCCTGCCTCTACCCTAGGTGTAGCCCTCACTGTGTTAGGCTATGGGGGAAAAAAAATTGTATTTTTCTCCTTCTGTTTTTCTTTTCTTGCACATGAGCTTTATGACAAAGAGGCATGAAGCTTTGCCAAAGTTGGGAGTGTTGTATTACATTCTTCAAAGGAGCCAGGATGGTCTTTAAATCTCTCCATACCTTTCTGTCCTTGGGACAGATTGGGCTGGGTCAAGAGCCAAAGCAGAATCAGGAATGAGCTTTGCTCCCAACATACACCACAATGCAGAGACTTCACAACTCAAACCTTCTCTGCCTGGCCTCAGAGAGCTCCGAAAGGCTGGATGTGCCAAAAATCCCATAGCACCTGGCACAAAGGCTCTGCAGCAGGGTCACAAGACAGAAACAAGTGGAGATTTAAAGGGAAGAAAGATCTTTATGGAATAAAACCTGACATTACACATCAAAAGCTTGAAGCAATATTTATGTGTGTGTGTGTGTAGGGCATGTGGGGTTTGCATACAAGGATGCTTGGCTGAATCTAGAAAAGTTTTGAAGGGATACCCAACGGAATGTTACCAGCACTCCAGGGATGGCTCCAGGGATGGTTTGGCGAGGCAGAGAGAGTAAGGGGACTATCACTATAGAAATCATGCATGCCTACTTTTTTATCCTTTTTTAAGTACAATTTTCTTATTTACGAGTTTTTATTGTGTAACTCTTTTTACTCATCAATTTCAATGCAGGAATTTAAGTTGAAGAAAGAATTAAGCCCATGCACAAAGGCTGAGCTGACAAGGACGTGCATGGAAGCTTTGCTTTCTAACAATAAAACCTCAGTCCTGAACTCATTGTCCAGTAATAGGGTATAGTCATAATAGAGAATTCCACTCAGCTGTTAAGTAACTTTCAAATGAATATTTATGGACCAAAAGAAAGGTGATTGTCATATATTATATAGAAATAAAGCAACTTTCACAGGTGGGTGTAATCCAACACCATGCTTTAAATCTCCATCTACATGTAGAAATATACAGATATTATTCTTAACAATCTTGGCTGTATTATCATTGTTTATTGTACTCTAGCTTTGAATTTTCACATTTCTGCAATGAATAGAAATAAGGAGAAAGTTGATTTGACAGAGAGCCAAGAGGTGTGGCCAGGACGCCCTCTGAAATCTCCTCAGGTGAGTGTGACACCTTGTGAATTCCTGCCACTGCTCAAGAAGGTAATTTGGCTCCTGTTGTCCCTTGGGGCAATTCCTGCACAAGAAGTTTCAGGAGGAAGCTGGAATGGAAAAAATGGAAGATGTGGGGCCCGCAAGCCCCTGCCTACCCTGCTAGTTGCTGTAGAGGGAAATGACTGAGGAGGGAGAACTGCGAGAGGCCACACCTGGGCTGATTTGGGAAAGGCAGGTTTTCACGTGGTTCTAGCCAATTTCCCATGTCTTCCACTTACACCTCTCAATCACCTAACAGAAGCGATTGTAAGAATTTTCAGGGTAATATTACAAATCACTCAGCCTGGTGCCAGGCACACTGGAGGGTGCAATGGGTGAATGGCCATATCAAAAGCTGGGGCTGGAAGGGGTGGAGGAAGAAAAATGTTTGTGAGCATCTCCCGTGAGCTACCTTTATGAGCCTTCACAACAAGTACCTGGCACATGCCTTGTGGTTACTCCCATTTTACAGATGAGAAAACTGAGGCTTAAACAGAGTGAGGGACTGGCCCAACCTCATTCAGGCAATTGGTGACTGAGCCAACATGCAAACCCTAATTTGCCTGTCTTCAAACTCATTTCTTTCCCCGCCCAGGAGACTTTGCACTCAGGCTTTCTATACAGAGGAGGCACTGGGACCAGCAAAGACGTGAACCCACAACACACACAGCTCGTGGCAGCGCATAGACTTCAGCAAGGCCTCTTTAGCCCTGAAGCATGTGACACATGGAGAAACTTGAGGCCCACACCCCCTCAGAAAGAGTCCCTTTGGGAATAACATTTTTAGCCATGGGCGAAAATGTACTTTAGCATGGAAGAAAAAGACTTTCTTCCATGCAAGACACATCCTGTTTACAATCCCATTTGTTCCAACAATAATTCTGAAGGGAGGGTAGAACAGGGGTTTTGTCATTTTACAGAGAGGGAAATTGACTTGCTGTGTGACCCGGAGCTAGTCACCTCCCCTTTCTGTATCTCAGCATCCCTACCTATAAAACAAGGAGGTTGAACCATAGTTACCCCAAGTTCTTTTCCATGTCATGAGCCATCCAATTTGCCACCAAACAGTAAATGATGTTAAAATAAACACCTGATTTTTCATGTCTTTGCCAATTTCTCTCCCTTCAAACAGAACTAATCCCATCTGCCTTGGTCTTCTCTTGTACCCACTTCCCACCTCTACTCCTGGGCTTACCACGTGCTGCTGCCACTGGCTCACATAGAAGCCACTAGAGGAAAAAGGCCATGTCTTCCCCTCCAGAACTGCCCTGTCCAGTATGGAAACCACTGGTTTCTGTGGTTGCTCAGCAATGAGTCCAAATTGAGATGTGCTGGAAGCATAAAATACACACTGGATTTCAAAGACTTAGGGAGAAAAAAATATATAAAAACTCGTTAATCATGTTTACAGTGATTATACGTTGAAATGACAATATTTGGCTATGATGGATTCAATGAAATGAATTATTAAAATTAATT